TTTCAAGATAAACTCCAAAGTTCAATTCAAATCAAAATTGTTTCATCTAAATACTCCTTTTTGGCTTTTTTCTCTTAAAGACAATATCCTCAATTTCTTAGGCCGATGTCTTCCTCTAGATTTGCTCATGTGTTGTGCTTCCTCTCAGTCGGCTTTTCTCCTCCGAGGGGTCCATCGGCACCTACTTGGGCGACGCTCCCGTTGTGCCGTGGTGATGACGATCGCGTGTCTCGATGCTCAGTTTTGCCTCAAAAGATATAAAGACCGTTTCATTGTCGAAAATAGGTTGCTTCAAGGATGCTAAGACAACTCCTTTATTTCAACTATAGGATGAGGTAGCTTGGACGTAAATCCTCACCAACTCGAACTTGCGACGAACGATTCAATAAACGTCTCTTCGACACAAAGATTTGTGGGAAAATTAAAAGAAAAAAAATCTTAACACAAGAGATTGGTGGCCAAATTAAAGGTCGATTTTTATTGCTTAATTCATACTGATAAACATCAAGTATTTAAAGAGAAAAACTTAGTTTAATCCTATGAGAAATAAAACTAATAATTTATGGAAAATAAATCAACTAAAATCCTAAAATTACCCAACTTATTCAAGAGCCTAAATAACGTAGGAAAGCTGTTAAATACGTGGGAATATCCAAGAATAATCTAGAAAAGAATCAGATAAAAAATCCTTGTAGAAGTCTCTTTTTCTTGGTCCCCATGTCGAACTCGCGTTGTCCTTGCATGCGCGACCGCGTCCATTGAGTCCCCCAGCGCGCCTGTTTGCCGGCGCGCGCGCTGCCTGCGTCGCACACCCGACATTTTGGGCGAGTCACCTAGTGCCGTAGCCATTTTCACCTTGTTTTCCTCCATTTATGTGCATCCCAAAACCTCCAATGGCATGAGGCGTGGTCTCGTCCGTGTCTGAACGACTTTGCGTGACCTTTTTGGTCGTCAAATGGCCTTCATCGTGCGTGTTGAAAAAATATTGATCTGAATGAAAAATACAAAAAAAAAATGTATCCTAAAAGTTGAAAATTTACATATTTTGGTATTTCATATGTTTATCTATTTGTTTACATAAATTTAAAGTTTAAAACTTAATTTAATACACTTGCATTCTTATTTTGTTTTCATTCAACCTTAGTATTAATTAAGTTGATTTTATATATTATTTATATAATAATAATAAGTTTAGTTAATATCTATTAAAACCGATAACACTAATTAATCTGAGTGATTTGTCTAATATAGTTGTCCCATATGGTATTTAAAACACTAATTTTTTTATTTTTTTTATTTTTTATTTTTTCTTCTGGTACAAAAGAAGGAGGCAAAGCCTAACTATGACGACCAACAGGAGTTGGCTCAAGTGGTAAACAGTTTGATGTCGCTTAAGCAAGATCTCGAGTTCGAGTCCTTGTGAATGTAGAAAACTCTTGTTGGGAGACTCACCCACCATTGCCAGGTGTGCGACCCCGGTCGACCAATAGATTAGTCCGAGCAACGCTCCAGATATCGTGGTTGGCTAAAAAAAAA